TCCCACAAACTATTCGAACTGTTGGCACGCGCATGCACTGCCTTGTTGAATCTCCCCAACACAATCTCCCCCCCCCACTCTGCCCCTACCCCCTACCCCCCCCCCCCACCCCGAAGCCCCCCCCACCCCTGCCCAGTACTCCGGCCACCTGAAGGTCCCACCGGTCGCACCCCCTGCCCTTTTTTTTCCACCTGTTCCACACACCCCTGTCCTTGCTGGCCAATCGCGGGAATCTTCTCCTTGCGCTCTTTGGCGCTTATGTTCTGCCTAAGCTCTGCCCTCTAGTTCCCAGTGTTCCTTCGCACTCTGCCCTGAATAATTTTCCCCCGTCCCTGCACTCACTCTCTTTTGTTAGTACACAGGTTCCACAGGTTTACTTGCTTGCCTCCCCCCTTTGCTCGCTCCCCATATTTTGTTTTTTCTTTGCCCTCCTCTTCCTCATCCCTACGAGCTCCTCTTTCATTGTCAGGAACCCCCTGCCCGGCTGTGTTGTCGCTTCCGTCTTTTCGGCGGAGGCAACGTCCGGTTATACCCTTCTCTTGGCTTGCTTTTAGGTCCTCAGCTTCCTCTCTTCCTACGGCGGTCCACCCTCTTCCTACCGGGTTTGGGGCGGGGCGTTCGGTTTTGACTTCACTCCCTTCTCCTGGGCCGGCGCATCCAGTGCTCCCTTCTAAGTCTGTTGTCCCCAGAGGCCTTCCCCCCCCCCCTCCTCCTACCCCCGGCCTTGCGTTTGGGTCTTTTTTCTCCACCGAGGAGTTCCCTCCCTGCCTGCGTTCTTATTCCGACCATTCCTACATGCCGCCACGTGGGTCCTCGTACCTTCACCGGCCCTACGTCCCCCCCCTCCTCGTTCCCGTTGTGATTATCACTCCCATTTTCTCGCCTCCCCCCGTGCTCCGTCCACCCAGCGCCTACCCCCCCCTTCTGTATCGATCAGTGTGCAGAATTCCTCTCGGGGGACAAGGCCCCGGCCCCGCTTTGGGGATTCTCCTGACCTGCCCACACTCCTTCCTCCTCTTCCAGTGATTCTTTAACCTCACTCCGCATTCCAGTTTTCTAACCCCCCCCCTCCCCTTTTGCTCCATAACCTTTGATTTTTTAACTCCGCTCCCCCCATTTGTCTGCTTTTTCGCTTCTTGCTCCTTACTATTCTTCTCCTCTTCCTCCACATTTGTTTTTCCATTTTAACTGTGCCCTCCTGTCTTTGGTTTTACCAAATCTCTTCATGGTCATCTCCTTCTTGTGTCCCATGGGTTCTCCTGTTTTTTTTCGAGTCCATGGGCCATGCACTCTATTTCGCAAGACTATTGCTTTCGCTGCTCTCTCTGTGCAAGAATTGCATTTTGCCTCCTTGTTCCCGCTGGTGAGAGATACCCCTAGAATCAGGCTTTTTTGAAAGGACGTGCCGCTCTGTGCCCCCCAAAACAATGTCAGCCTTTTTCCGCGAGTTTCTGGCCTGATCCAGTGCCCAAAATGACTAATATATATTTCCCCCCCCTTTCTACTCAAAAACCCGTTCAATTTGTTTCTGACCCCTACCTTCCCTGCCCCTATCCAGCTGTGCCCCGCTTTTATTCCCATGGCTCCCCATCTGTCGGCCTAGTAATGCCGTCCTCTCTGTCTGCGGCCTTCCTTCCCCGCTGCTCCTGCTTTTCTATCCTCGCCAGCATACTATTGAATTCTGTATTATTCCATTCCACTGTCGCGCTTATAATTTGAGGCTCTTCTTCTGTCAGTTCCTCATGCTTAGGGTCTTCGGGCATTTGTATTTCTCTTCTACCCAATTACTCCTTCTGGTTTACTCCCCCCAACTTTGCCGTCCAGCTCCCCACCTTCCGTTTTTTTTAAGCAAACGTTCTGCTACATCTTCTGCCTTTGTTCGATTGGGGGGGGGCTTCGGGGCGGTGGTGGGATGGTTCTGTATTTTTTTAGAGGGGGGGGGATCTAGTTGAGTTTAGACTTGGTGGGCGGGGGGATTATTTGGGGGCATTTTTTTTTTTTGTTTGTCTGAGGGGGGGGGCGGTTGGGGGGGGGGTGGGATGGGGGAGATTAGGGGTTGGGGGGCTCCTGTCCGGGATCCCATGGGGGGGGGGATTAGCGGGGGGGGGGTGGCGGGATGGGGGGCCGGTGGGGGGATTCTTTAGGGCGGGTTTCGCCCTTTTTAGAGTTGGTCGCCCCGGGGGGGGGGGATTCTTTCTGTTTTTGACGGCGGGGGGCCGGTGCGCGCCGGAGCGGGGGTGGGCACTGGCGCGCGGGCGGGTGGCGGGGGCGGGCCGGGGGGGGGGCCGGGATTTGTTTTGGGGGGTGGGGGATAGTTTAGTTTCTGAGCGGTTGGGGGGGGGGGGGACCGGCGGGGGGGGGGGGTGGTTAGGGGGTATGGGTGGGGGGGGGGGGGCGGGGGGGCGGGGGGGCCGGGGGGGGGGGGGGGGGGGGGGGGGCGGGGGGCCGTGGGGGGGGGGGGGATTTGGGGGGGATTTGGGGGGGGGGGGGGGGGGGGGGGGGGGGGGGGGGGGGGGGGGGGGCGGGGGGGGTGGGGGGGGGGGGGGGGGGGGGGTGATTTAGTTTTGTGGGGGGGGGGGGGGGGGGAGCGGGGGGGGGGGGGGGTGATTGGGGGGGGGCCGCGGATTGGGGGGTGGTGGGCCGGGGCCCCCCATTTAGTGGGGGGGGGGTATAGGGGGGGGGCCCAGCGGGATTTGTTTTTCTAGTTGTTTGGGGGGGCGGGGGGGGGGGTTGGGGGGGGGGGGGGGCGGGTGGGCGGGGGGGCCGGGTGTGGGGGGTGGGGGGGGGGGGGGGGGCCGGGGGGGGCCGCCGGGGCGGGGGGGGGGGGGGGGGGGGGGCCGGGGGGGATCTATGGGGGCGGGTGGACTTCAGAATTGGGGGGGGGGGCGGGGGGGGTGGGGGGGGGGTGGGGGGGATTGGGGGGGGGGGGGGGGGGGGGATTTTCGTCTTTACTCGGGGGGGGGGGGGGGGGGGGGGGCTGCGCGGGGGGGCGGGGGGGGGGGTGGGGGGGGGGGGGCGGGGGTGGCGGGGGGGGGTGGAGGGGGGGGGGGGATCTTGGGGGGCGGGGGGGGGTGAGAGCCCCGCAGACCCTATACCTTCTGCTCTGCAACCCCCCTCTTTGAAGACCTGCCTTTAAGCCCATTGTCTCCCGCAACCCCTGTGGTGCTATATCTTAAACCACCACACCCCTGCTATCATTTAAATGGTTCCTTCGTACCCCTATTATACCGCTTGCTTCATCCCCTTCTTCCACTGTGCCCTCCAAGCTATGTCTCATGTTTCGCTTTCTTGCACCGTGTCCTTTACATTCAGAATGTTTGTCTTTTCATTTCCCGTGTGTGTTTTTAGTTCGCACACAAGCTGCGTTTCGCACACGCAATCATTCCTAATGCCGTTGTTTTCTTTCTTCTTCGGTTGTTCCATCCATGCCCGCCACCCGCGCCGGTGTATTTCTGCTTTCCTGTACCGCCTCTCTTCTTTGCCTCTCCCGCCTTTTTTTAATTGCTTGGCTTTCGTTCCGGCTCCGCCCCTTCAGGTATCTTTCGGGCCTCCCTCAACCCCCTGTGCGCATCTTCCGGCCGGCCCCACCCGCACCCAGGACGGGACCCATAGCTCGGGTCGCCATACCACCCTTCGGAACTTTGGCCACCCCTTAACCCCTCCTCGGTGCTACCCATTAGCCTATTTGGACTTAATGTGTTCTTTAGTGGAGCTGTTGTACCAACTCTCATCACTTAGGATCATAAAGAGGAATGCGTTTTGACTTCGATTTTCGATTTTTTCCATTTCATCAACAAGTTATTTTTCGTCTTCTAAATCTTGATCCCCTTTCTCTAGCCTGACGACTAGTCTCAATTAGCGACGGCTGAATTCCCCCATCAGCTTCCAGACGAACTTATATTACAGATTTCTATGCGGCCATTAGTTCCCCCTTTCTCCTATATATATCGCAAAGTCGTTTAACTAGTGATGGAAAGTTTGAGTTGCGTATATAAGTGATTTTTAAAATATGAATTATTTTCTTTACACCCAGTGGTGGTTATTGTCGTTTACTGATCATGTTCAGTGTTCCGCCCTTTTGTGCTTTGGAACATTAAATGACTGACTCGGCACTACAGGGAGGGCGCTTGAGAGCTATTTTAACGGTATGTTCAATTAAAGTGGGAATGTTTAAATAGCCAGGTTACTCCAGGCAATAAAGGGTTTATACGAACCTCTATTTTTCTCCTCTTTACAATGATTTCCGGACTTCGGAATAGAGACCACCCTTGTGGTCATGAACCGTAAGAAATTAAAAATATTAACTAACTTAACTAGGATGAAACTTTGGAATTCATCAAAAAAGTGCCTATCCCCAGATTGGCATATATTAGCCAAACAACGCCGATGTTAGTAAAGACCGCATGTTACCTACGATAGTTTTTTTAATTAACCTAAACTAATCAAGAGCGCTTCCACCTTGGCTCGAAGGTCCCCGCCCCCCGAGTTGTAGTACGTCGTGTTTCAGTGTCCCTCCCTGCTAGTAAACACTGGCTATCGGGCAAGGGCCCCTCTCCTGTCCTATCCCCTACCTCTTCAGCCATCCTCCTTTTTGCTTGGCCCACCGCCCCAATTAGTCTTCGGTCGTTTCTCGTTCGCCCCGCCCCTTGCCATACCCCAGTTTCCGTTACGTTCCCGCGTTCTTTGGCGACGTAGCCCGACTTACACGTCGGACCACCATCCGCAGTGTCGTAAGATTTTTCCCCATCTAAACTCCTAATCCCGTTTTAGTAAACTTTAAGTCGTACCTATTAGTTTTTAACCCTTCGTATCTATTTCTCCTGGTTTTCTCGCATGGTCCCTCCAGTCATTTACACCTTTGGCAGATGACCCCCAACATTTGGATACTTTTTCTTTTATTTGGGTATTCCTTATTCCTTATCTAACATTACTTTAGCTATGTATTATTCTATCTCATAGCAAAATAATTTGGTTCTGGGTTACTCGTGTACCTTCCTTACTTTATCCATAACTCCAGGTCCTGATCCAGCAGCGGACAAAACGGACCTAACAGCCACCTTCCTAACACCCTGACTGTGGATATAATGCTCTTCAATGCGGCCTACCTCCGCACTGTGAAATGCCTATTCAGACATTCAGCAGAAGAAGGGCTTTTTTTGATCGATTGCCGCTTTGCTCTCCTGCGCGTTGTTTCTCTCAGCTCCCCGTCCTTCTCCTTTCCAAGACCCAGTCCTGGTCTGCCGTGCAAGCCAGGCGAGGCGCGCCGACCCCGTGTGTGACATTTGGGAACTTCTTCTCGCTCCCAGTGCACGAGCCTCTGTTGATTCATGACATGCTATGGGGAATGATGTGGGTTTTTCTATTGCCATACGTACCAGGCCCCGCGTTTCGTTTAAGTTTCTAGTGTTTCCCCCCACTTTAGGGGGGCCCATGGTCCGTGGTGTTTGTGTGTAATGGGCCCCAGTCAGTCACTTCGGCGCGTTTCTATTCCGATGTTTTGTCTTCATGTTCTCCTGTTCGAAATCCATCACCTACGTTTCATAGTGTATATGTGCGCTAATGGACGGACAAACATGCCACAACTCTCGCTTCTCGGCAGCCTACAAAATAGCCAACTCTTTGAGGCCACAAGACTAGACCTGTTTTGTTTAATTATGGACATTTTGGCATTTTCGTTGAAAGTGATTATTTTAAGGAACTCAAGCCGCGCCGTCGTGCTGTACATTTTCGTCTGTACCCGTGTTAGTCTAGTAACGGCCCACCGTGGCCGACCGAGGAAATATAATAATAAAATCGGGAGCCAGTTGTTGAAAACAGTGTTCGATTCTAAGAGAATGGTTTTTCGGCCTTCCTACTTCTTGAATGTGCGTTTTTCGTGGCCTTTTTCCCCGTGTCTGCCGTTCCTTGCTTGTCTTGTGTCCCCTTGTGTTGTTCATGTGTTGGTACCTGTGGTTGTGTTGTGTCTGTGTAACGTATATATATGCACGCTAGTTCAGTCCGGAAGAGTTCCCATTGAATTCACTTCCTCACTTAGTAGCACTCTAGACGTCATTGCGCTTTGCTGTATGCTGTGCCAACTAATACCCAAACCTTTAATTCTTAGACCCTTTAACCTAAATTAACACGCCGACAACAACTTCCTACCATTCAGCCGTCCAACACAAAATTCAGCGCCGTTTACTTTCCTCCCCTTTTCCCAGGACTGGTTTCCGATGGTTTTCCCCGCCGCCGCACCCCATCCTCTTCAGCTGCCCACCGCCCCTGCCACACGCTCTGACCTCATGTTTCGACAGCTCGCCCGCCTGGACAAGGAATCCGCATCGTGGCGCCCTTTGTTGGCGAACGCAACCAGCACTCCCCCCATCATTCTCTACAAAGCGAAGGCACGAATTGGCTTGAATTAGGAATCGTTAACAGAAAGAAAGTTTTCTGCATGTGCGCTGCCCTCCCTAGAACATCAGAGTTCTCCATGGGAAGATGTTTTTGATACTTTTGGCAGCAGGAAAAATTGTGAATGTTGAAGTTGTGAAGTTCGGACCAACAAGTTTGAGCACCAGAAGCCTTCTGTGTTTCCTGTTTGCGAAACATACGCCTAAGGTTTGACGATGAAAATGTTAAGGCTCCTCTTTTGTTTCTTATTTTCTTTTTTCTTAGAGCCCCCCCTTTGGCCCCCCCCCCCGCCCCCCCCCCCCCCCCAACCCCCCTCCGTTCCTCCTCCCCCCCCCCCCCCCCCCCTTCTCCTCCTGATCCCCACTTTCGCCCCCCCCCCCCCCCTCCTCCCTCCCCCCCTTTTCCCCCTGTTCTCTTGCTTCGTATCCCCCCCACTTTCCTTGCCCGCCCTTCCGTGTGTGCTGGGGCCGTTTGGTTTTGTTGCTTTGTGGCCTGTAAATCAATCTCCTCTGGCCGGCCTCCTATAACCAGGATATTATATCGGGCCTGGTGGGGGTGTGCGTGGGGTGGTTCTTGCGGATCGCCCAGTTGGCACCCGGCTATGCTGGAGCGTAAGTCCCCAATTTGCACATTTCGTTACGCCACCCCACTCCATTTCTCCTACCCCTTTCAAAGCCATACCCCCCAAATTTATAGCTTCCTCTCTCCCTGAATAAGGCTTTAGTGTCCTTCCGTTTTCGGGGGTCCCCCCCTCCATCCGTATTCTTCGCCCCGTTACGCACCGCCCTTTCGTCTGTGATTCCTCTCTTCCTATTCTTCTTATGGCACCTCTGTCAGTCCTTCTCCGGTGCTCCTGATGTGCCTTCTAAGGGGCAGTTCTTGGCGCCGTAGCCGGCGTCCTGCCCGAGGGTAGTTGTGGCCCTCTCGTTTCTGAGGTTCTTTGCTGTTACGTCATGCTCTCAGTTTCCTTTGTTGTTTTCTCCCCGCATCGTTTCCATCGTGCGCCTGTCCAGCCCCTTCAGTGAGGGATGTTCCCCGCTTGCCATCTTCCTGTTGTCCCTCCTCCGCTTCTCCATTCGACCATCATCAGGGGCCTCGAGCGAATTCCGTCTTTTTTCTCCCTACTGCCTTCGTGTGACAGTGTCGTGTTCTACCCTCCCGTTAGCGGGGAGGCGGTCGCTCCTCTCCGTCCCGGGAGTATTCATACTCTCTTTTTGCTCCTTCGTTGGTCTTGTTCCTCTTCTTTTGTGCAGTTTGTTCTTTATGCTATGCCAATGTTTCTCACGCTTCCCTTCCTCCCCTATGTCCCAAAACCCCCCCCCCCCTCCCTAGTACATTACAAAACCCAATCTGACTTTGGTTGCTCTTCATCCGTTTTTCCGGGGGTCCTTTCACGTTTGCGTGTGCCCGTCTTATCAATCTTGTTCTTGCCTAAACCATAGATCGTTCACGAGCCCTATGCCCACTCATGTACTTACGCTACTTTGAATTCCGCTATCCCAGTCTCGCGCGCTGGACTGTTACCCCGTATTTTTTTTTACCTTATCCCCGTTCTGCCCTATTGCGTTTGACCATTCTGCGTTCCTTGCTTACATCTCCACACGTGTCAAACTAGTCTTTTAAACAATTCGTCCGAACATCGATCATCAAAATTCCCCCATTTCAACTGGTTTCCACCTTCTTCGTTGGCGGATACTTATTTCCCCTTCGATGCTTATGTACCGGTGTTTTCTCCTCCCCCTAACCCGCGAATATATCATTTATGCCCGCTTTTCCTTATTTTACTTCCTTCAACTTTCTGAGGCCTTAACCTTTGTGGCCCCCGTTTGACAAGGACACGACGTTTCTGAGTCGGCCGACACTGCCCCACGACCGCCTCGCCTTCGGGCTCTGACAAATCCCTTTGGCCTCACCTCTTGTCCGGTTTGCCACTTCCCTCGTCCGTGTTCCCTGCAGTCATAGTATATTTTGCCCCCCCAAGCCTGCTTTTTTATTACAATCCAACGGCAAAGTTTGCCAGACATCAAACATCCATTCAGAGCATACAGCCTAATAAATTTTGCAGAATGGGTTTGCGCCCGCGAAGCAGACGCTTGTGCTCACCCCACCACGTGACTAATGGTCTTGCTTCGCGGAGGTGTGCCTCGTTCTTGGTCACTTCGTCGGCGCGATGTCCCTCCACCGATCAGAAATGCCCAGAAGATTCTCTTTCTGCCGGCTTGCAAACCAACCACTTTAAGACAAAATGCTAATCCTCGTAGCAGTCTTTTCTTCACTTAGAAACAACACAACTGTAAATGCTACACTATAAATCATCACTGATTTAGCGCTATTTGCGTGGTTGAACTCCTTAAATTTCGGTTTTCATTGTTAAGTAGTCTTGTAAATAGGTAGGCTGATCCTCTAAGGACAACCTCCTGGTATTAAGCGTTTTTCGACCCTTATTGGCTATGTAAATTTTTATTGACCACAGCAAGTATTACAGAAACACTCCTAATTTTCTACCTTAATGAGTTGTGAGCTTCGGTTCGCCCCCTTTTCGAGTTGACAGCCACACAACACAATGCACCGCCTAGCCCCCCCCGGACCGGCACAGTTGCACCAGCGCCCTGTCACGAAAGACCGGCGTCGACCAGCTAGATTTAGCTCGTTGTCAGATCCGCCTTGAAGCGTTGGATGTGGGATTGGCCGCAGTTCCCAAAATTGTAACACATTCCTAAATTTTCATCATGGAAGCTTTAAGCAAAAGTTAATTTTAATTTTAATGATATAGTTAAATCATGCTCATAAATATTGTGATATATAAATGAACTCAAAGTAAAATATATTGAAGCAGTAATTCTGAGTTTAAAATTTGAAAGAGAAGCAATAAGAAAAAATATTCCTCGCACAAGAAATCATTTCGAAGCCTTCACAAATAACCTACGAAGCCGTTTTATGAGGTAATACATAATATATTCCTGCTAATAACAAAAATTAAAACCTCATATCAGTCATTCCAAAGTGGAACACTATTGCAGTTTTAATGAAAGTTAGGATATACAAACTGAGAAACAGACCTTTTGTGGGCCCTTTTTGTTCAGTTGAGACTGAGAAATGTTTAATTATTATTATGCCATCTATCAAATTAGAAAACTATTTATTCATTGTGGAATAATTTTCTCTTTTCATATGAGTTTCACAAATATATCAGATCATAGTATGCAGTATTTTATTCGTTAATTCTCGTATTCAAAATAAATAAACCCCTGTCATGATGATTACCGTCTTCTTAAGGTGATCCCTTCTGAAAGAACTAGCATTTTTGAGAAAATAAATAAATATTAAAACTAAACTTAAAGCACTTACAGTTTCTGTCATATAGGGGTGGAACCAGTTACAGTTCTACAGGTAAAAGAGCAAAATATTGCCAAGTTTGGTGAATTTTGCAATTTCAAACCAAATTTGGCAGCAAAATTTATTTGCCAAAACATCGCCAACTTGGCGTTAATGCCATTTACCTCAATGTTAAATGATTTTGTCCGTGTAAACCTTATTTTTCTGCCGAAATCTTCACATTTTTTTAGCCATTTGTATTATATTACACAAGAGGTACTGCGCGATTTACATTAAAATTGCTTACATATGTGCAAGTTTCTTAAAAATATTTTTTGAATGCAGCATAACGTTTAAAAATAAATACTTCTTAATTTCAAGTATAATGGGATAACACTTCAAAAAGATCCTTTTAATGGCTGCTAATGTCTTAGCTCGTTAATCATTTATTTTAATTTAATGATAAGTATTACTACTGAGGCAACATTTATTTGAAAACTAAGAAGTATTGTAAAGTGGCGTCAAATAAACGTCGATATATCTTGTTACTATAATATAGGAGTAGCTTTTATCGAGGAAACAATTCCTGAAAATTAGCGTTATGAATTATATTCTGGATCTATGCTCAATGTAGAAACAAATAAAAATAATTCAGAAAGATTCAAATCGCTATGAAAATTTTATTATTCAGCTGCACACCTGTTCTTTAATCACCTTCAAAATTTAATCTTTTATTCACATTGCTTTCAATTGGGAAACAAAGTAAAAATGAAAGATGATGTGCGATCCTTCTCAAATTCCAAAACTTATTGCAGCTGGAGAATTTGTTTAATATGGGAGAAGACATTAAGCGCCATCTGTTGACGGAAGTAAGAGAAACATTATTGAATAAAGAGATATAAAATTACGACTTTTTAATTTATCGAAATTAGCAGATTTAACAGAACAGCTTTAAGGAATTACTCCGCTTCTTTTGTTCCATTTTGATAAACTAAAAATCTTTTACACTTTCTTATGAATCTGACCGTTATAGGCAGAATAAATTTTAAAAAAAGGGAGAGACACAAGGAAATTTTCGAAAACATGAGTAACATTTTTTTTTTTTCTTTCTTTTAATTCCTAACAAAGTACAACAAAAATTATCGCTTTTTGAAGTAAAATCCTAAACCTCTGAGCGAATTTTCGTCACTATCAGTATGCTGATTTTTTTTTTTTTTTAATTCAAGAAGAGGTAGATAATAGCAGGATGCATTATTATGATTTTTTTTAAAGTTAAAATAACGATTATATTATTTAACTGCTAACACAGACTATGATCTCAATATTCAGATTAGACAACAGTGCAGGGACTTGGGATTCTTCTCAAAACTATTTAATATTCTCGACGAGAAAAAATCGTTTTATTTTGTTGATCCTAACGTCGTTTTGCTTTTTTCATTTTGAGTGAAACATATGAATGTGTTATTATTAAGTAAAATAGTAAGATAAAAAAATGGAACATTTTTAATTAGATTTGACAGACTTTTCCAAATTAGGAGTTTTTATATTTGCTTTATAAAAAGTTACCATGTTTTCACCCAAACTCATATTAAATACACAAATTTTTAAAAGCAATTGCGTGCCTAAATACACATTGAATTTAATTGTAACAGAACGTAAGATTATAGAATTTCAAACCTGGCAAAATATTTTGCTTTGGATTTACTTTAGTACAAATTTTCTACAAACCTTTTTCAACATTCAGTATGATCAGACATATATCCCTTTAAGGATATAAAATATTTTACAAAATTAGGAATTGCGATAAACACGTTTAGAGAAAAATCATTTAGCGGTGCAATTATTAATTAAAAAACTTTTTTTTAATGTAAACAGTTTTAATGGTACTCAATTCAAGAAATTCTTCGAATATGTTTCCTAGAGTTGTTTGTGGCTAATTTTCGTAAAACCAAAGTCTTATTATAATATAGAAATTATCCACAACATTTCTTTAGTTATTGAGTTAGATTTCATTGAAACCTTTTTGAAACTGAAAAATTTGCCTTCTCTAGTTACTGCATTAATTGAAATAGAATTCTTCTCGCTGCTTTGAAAATTTAAGAATCTTAGCTTCTCATTCATTTCTTGTTGAAATATTTTTCTACACTCGCTTCTCCTTCCTTTGCTGAATACTATCTATAAATAGAGTTTTTATTCCTCCTAGATTTACAAAATTAGCTTTCTTCAGTAAACGATGGATTTACGACTAATATCTTACGAAATCGATGAAGCTTTACACGGAATTTAAGTCAAGATCGATATTGGCCTAGCTTTAAACTCTCTTGAGTGATTGGTCGTAAACAAATGGTTCCTGTTTAGAAGAATTAAAGTAAGAAAGGACTTCATCTTACGACAATTTTAATCACATAACACGTTTTAGTAAAAATGCTCCATATTTTTTTTATTTATAGATTCAATTAGGAAACCAAATTAAAAAATATGATTTTGCAAAAAATTTAGTCAAGGAAAGAAACATAGTTTTCATCATATGATCAAAACTACTTAGATATATCATTAATGAAAATTACTAGGAAACTATATGCAATAGTACTAGTCACAATCCGTTTCCAATTAAGATTTCTAGAAAATGGTTTTATACTAAAAGGAAATATTAACTTATAATCTGAGATGTTAAGTTAGCATTTTTTTAAGGAACAAAATTTTGAGATTTTATACTTCAAAAATTCATTTGATGTACAATCAGAAATCGGCCTCATTTCCTCCGGAGAAATAGGTTCAATGCAGAGAACTTTAGCAATTTTTACAGAACCCGTTTGTCATAGTAAACATTATTTTTTTCTTTTTATCTATAAAATAATACGAGGGCCATCCAGGAAGTAGATTACGTTTCCGTCTGTGTCCGCTAGGGGCGGGGCTAGCGCGGCCATCTTGGGTCAGAGCGTTGCGCACTCAGTCTGCTCTAGCCGTGCTAGTGAGAGGTTCGTGCTGTGCTCCGTTCAATACTGTGACGGTTTGAAATGTCTGCGTAATTGAAAATCCCGCGAGTGCGAGTTGCGCTCAGTAATAAGGTTTCTGACTGCAAAAAACGGTAAACCGATAGAAATCTATCGGCAGCTTCGTGAAGTTATGGGGACAACATTTCACTGAAGGTGGAGTGCGTCGTGGTCATAAGATTTCAAAATGCCGAAACCAATTTCACGACGAAGATCGAAGTGGGAGACCCAGCCTAGTGACCGCCGAAACTTCTCGAAAAGTCGATGCTAAGTCCGTGAAATCGAAATTTCACAATAACGGAACTTTCTTTGAGTTTTCCACAATTTCGCGAAGTTTGTTGCACGAAATCATCACGAAAAAGCTGGTTACACAAGTTTTGTGCAAGATGGATTCCAAAAATCTTGACAGAGGACCCAAAATCAGCGAATGGCTGCAGCGTTGAACTTTTGGACGCTTACCATAAAGGATGGTGACTCTTACCTCGATCGCATCGTTACTGGTGACGAAACATGGGTGAAACATGTGAACTGTGAACGAAATTGCAATCAATGCGTGGGGGCAACAAGTTCTCCCCAAAAACCCAAGAAATGCTGCAACAATGTCGGCAAGGAAGATGATGGCGACTGTTTTTTGGACAGAAAAAGGTGTAATTTTGGTGGACTTCCTGGAAAGAGGCTACAATAAACTCTCAAAGGGATTGCCAAACTCTCCAAAAACTCAGAAGAGCAATTCAAAAGCGCAGAGAATGTTGAGCTCTAAGATCTTTTGATCACGACAAGCCCGGCCCACACGGCAAATGTCACTCGTAAAGTTCTTGAATCTTTTAAGTTGGAGTTGTTTCCTCATCCGCCGTACAGTCCCGACCTGGCACCGAGCGACTTCCACCTATTCCCAGCAATGAAGAAGTGGCTGGCTATGCAGCGTTTTGATGACGACGCACAGCTGCAAGAAGAGGTAACGAAGTTGTTGAAGGCGCAGGCGGCCGAATTTTCGACGAAGGAATTTCCAAGCTCGTACATCGCTACGATGAATGCCTTAATTGTATGGTGACTATGTAGAAAGTAGTATTTGAGTGTGGCTTCATCATATAATAAAATTTGTTTCCTATACTTTGTTTATTTTTTTATTCCAAAACGTAATCTACTTTCTGGATAGCCCTCGTATAATAATACCATAGTAATTTCAACTTTCTTCGCAAACAACCCGCAAGAAAATTTAAATTTTGTGCAATATTATTAAAAAGTTCCATGTTCCACACGCTTCTAGAATCGGAAGGAATCAGAATTTTACCATTTTTGTTAAATTTTTAATCTGGAACCCTGAATCTACAACCAAATGTTCAAAATACATTTAGTAACGTAGTCGTTTTTAAAACATCTGTTTTTAAACATCTTTAAATATCTGTAAACATTCTGTAACAAAACTAACAGACATGAAAGAAGATTACTGAAAATCAAGCAGCTTACCTTAGGATATCGTAAAGACAGCAATTCAGAATGAACACTTTGGTTTTCGTTCTGGCTACCAAACCAGTTATAATAATATGTTCCAACTTTAGTGTCATTAAATGTTGCATAGCAAAGAAGAGTCCCATCAGGAGCCCACCATATGGCGCTGTTACTCTTCAGAATTTCCTCTGAAAATAAAAGATCAATTTGTTCCCAGACAAAACCGTCATATTGTTATGAAAATTTCATATTCTTTTAGTAATTTCCTATACGAAGTTCTTAAAAGGCTTAACAAAAGAAAAGCCTGTTAAAAGCATTAAGATATTTGTGGCTTTATCGTACCTGCGGTTTCCAAAACGCAATAACAGACACTTCCGATCTAATAGCTTATCCCAAACTCAGTTTGAACGGTAGGAATTGAAGGGATTTGCGCTGGAAGTCTTGTTTTGCGTGAGGTCGAAGAATTGAAAGGAAGCTTATGCTTCTGTATGATATATTTCTGAGAGTTCTTCCTTTATGCTTGTAGAAAGTACTCGGACTATTGCGTTATTGCTCATTACTCGGAAACGTTTCTTAATGGCTTTTCAAGTCTGTAGATCTGATAAGGCCATTAATGGAAAACTTAAAAGCAAGTAACAGAATTTTAAAAAAAAATTAGACCTTATGGAGTTTCTACTGTGGTCTGTTGTAAATTTGAAACAAAATTAACATATTCCGCTTTATTAGAACTAAATTATAATAAAATGAGTCTCTATGACACAATGAAAATAAATTGCTGTAACGGAACGCTAGGGTATACGTTTAGGTACTCAACATGTAAGGATTATGTTAATTTTATTAACAGTTAAATTTTAAGTTAAAGTTCCTTTCCTGTCAAATTTCTTAACTTCAACTTACTACTTCCGACCAGAACGTAGTTTTGGAATCTTACTGAATATTTAATGAGGAGAAGCGGTATTTAGACCACGAAGTTATTTACTGAGTCAGAGAGAATCAGAGTGTCTTGATTTACGCGCGTCTGCCTTTTTGGTCACTCTCTCTCTCAAAGCTGTTATTACGCTCGGCCGTACTCAGGCCCTTGCTAAGATTCGTAGTCAAATAAGTTAAGGGGCCAACTCGATTTGAACATTCGACCATACTTCTTTAGTTAATCTTAGTTTTAGTTTAATTCTTAGTCTTTTAAGTTCAAGTCCAAGTGAGGGCTTTGCTTGTACACTCCAAGGCAAAGTTTTGTTAAATATTATTCTAATAATAAAGGGTTAGTTACTCTTCTGTCTTGTTGTTTCTCGTCACCGAACTCAAGCGATTATTCGCTTATCACTTCTTAGATTCTTCACTTCCAACATTAACTTAGAATTCCGAAGTGAGGAACTCTACAAACAGAAAAATGTGAATCGTAATATATGTTGACATGTACGGATCATTCGGTTAAATCCTTTAATTAGCACACGTAACCGGCACTTTACCGTCCAAGTTGCATCAGTAATGCCAATCGAAAATCACGCGAAATTTTGCGAAGTGTTCCTCTACAAATCCTATGTTTAGACAGCATTTCACGTCGTAGTTTGAAAAAGATATGGCAAGAAAGTCCTTTCATGTTATACGAAAATAAGATTTTGAAGTTGAATTTTTTAAAGAAACCTTTAAAACTTGTTTAAGAATTAAACTACCATAAAAATGTAATTTCTGAGCATCATAGAGTTAGACTCGGATTGAACTGTCAAAGTGATCACTTAGTATTGCAAAAACTTTGTTCACATATTGCGAAACTATTTACGCTACAAACGACTTCCTAAAATTTTGTATTATTACATTACGCTTGCATAATTGTATACCCTGTTTGCCTTCACAAGTGTTGCCATTGCTCAAGATATAAAATTCCTTAATTTATCTACCACACAATCCTGCGCTTTATTTTAAATAATACTTTTTTAACTGCAATTTACACACTTTTCTCACGCAACTTTAATTTTGACGTCTTTGGTTTTGGCAACTTATCAATGTCGGCCATTATTTGAAATTTCTGGACAAATTTTTAAGGGCGCTTTTAAGCTATCTTGAAATATGATTCTCTCCTCTCTTTTGCAAATTTCAGAATGCAGTCTCTTTTTCCAAAGGTTTGTTTCATTGTTTCCTTAAAATCTACCGAAGCAAAAACGACTGTATAAAACATACATTAGATCGCATTTGAATACAGAATTCGTGAAGAATTTCTTGCTAAAAAAATTTAAGTTCTGTATTTTTTATATTGTTAAAATGATGTTCCTGCGCTTCTTAAAAAGTAAATTCAAAACTATATTCGAAAAATTAATATCTTCTGACAAATTATTATTCATTTCAGATAAGCCTGTTTAGCAGTTTCACAATAATTTCAAATGAAAACATCTACCTAAATCGATTCTTATTGGTATGTCCCATACAGAATATACTTCACTGGAGTAGCAATGAGCTTCGTAATATTTTATTTCTAAAATTTCGCCTCTATAGCATACCAAAACCAACTCATTAAATCATGGCATTCGAAGTAAACACTTCAGTGAATTCTGCTTTGACAGTGCAAGAGCCATGCAATGGATTTGAAACTGCCATCTTTCAGATGTACTTGAAAACAATTCCTACTTCATACTGTCCTCTTCTGATGAAATATCACTGGTAATAAAATATTATATTTCTTAATATTGTCGTGGTACAGTGAGAAGTTGAACGATTTCAAGAATACAGTGTGATATATCTGCTTTGGTTCAAGGACGACCCGCACTGTAATTCTAAGTATACCTTTTAGCAAAAATAAATAAATGAAATAAATAGTCTTGGATGAAATTTGTTAGAAGAAAGATTTAAACACGAAGTCGAAAATTTGCAAAGCAAAAATGATGCGGGCAATGAAACTCGAAAGTCGTGACTGACTCGCTTTGATAATTCTAGCGTAGAGGATTAAATCTGACGACTCATTCAGATTTGAATTATTAAAATGCCGGATACATCAACATAACCAACGTTATTAGATGGATGGTTCAAGACATTAGACCATGCAAATAGAGTTATTTCTAAAGTCAAAAATTAATTTTTTAGAATGATCCGATAAATTATCTTACCTTCATACAACCAGTCAGGTACACCATTAGAAATGACTCCTTTTGCCCCAGATGTAGATAGCTGGTAATGTGTTCCATTTACATCTGGAACGTAGTACACGTTATTTTCGTACACGTACACCTAAAAATAAGATACAATTAATTGAGGTGCATACACATTCAGCATTATCAGTCACCAGAAAAAAATTGTTAAAAAATGTAAATCAACTTTAAAAACTATTTTAATCAGTTTATTAATTATACATCATGATGTATTATCCTTCTTATAAAATCGTCATGCTGTCTTGCTGATTAGCGTCATTATAAAGCATCTATAATGAATATAACGTATTTATAATAGTTATAATGCAGCATTATAACGTAGTTATAGTACTTAATCATCGATTGATCTCTCAAATTTGCTGTATGCAATAGTATTTTACATCTGTAACACATATACAAGGTGTGACACATAAAGGCGAGACTGCTCCAATAAACCATTGTACTTACAGAATCAGTTCTCCGTTAATTTATCACCTTGAAATTAATTCCCTTCACCATTAACACAATTCTGCATTCGGTGCTGCCATTTCTGGTAACAGTGCTAGAGGGAGGTTTTTGGATGGCCCTTCAAGAAATTTTCCGTTTTTGTCTAAACCTCTTCAGCTGAGGCAAAATGGGTTCCCTTTAACTCTTTCGCATCGAGAGACGACCAAATCTGTTTTCAACAAACATCGAAAACGCCCGTGTTTACGAATTTGTCTTGGAATAGTTTTCCTTTCCCCTTCTGCGGTTTCATCCATTCATCCATTGTGTGCAGTTTCACCTTAGTGCCGTATTGCACCTGCGAACGTCAATAGCTTTCCGTATTTCTCCTTTATTTGCTTCAAAAGAATGATTGACATGACTTTTAACAACTCGCGAAACCAATGAGCCATACACTAACGTGGAGGGGAAAGAACTAGGTAGAAAATAAACGAGGCGTTGGGGCGGTTTGCCGTTGCCTGAATGAACGGGCGCTACGGGCGATTTCGATGCGAAAGAGTTAAGTAAGATTTAGCTTTAGATAATAAAAACATCGCATGGATCTAAATCAGGTGAATAAGGAGGATGCCCCACCACAGTAAGTTTTCTGCTGGTCAGAAACTGTTTGAAAGATAAGGTCGTGTGAGCGGATGCATTGTCCTGATGCAACAGCCATCCATCACTCCACAACTCTGGCCTTTTTTTTTTCCTAATTTTTTTTCACGAGTCGTTTTAGTGCTTCAATGTAGTAGTGTTGATGAGTAATCTGACCACTGGGAACCCATTCAGTAATGATGAACGTGCTGGACGCCAAAGGGGGCGCCCACCACGTTCATCATATGCCATGCTGTTCATTCTCTCCTGAAAACTGCTTATGCCATTCAAACACACGTGATTGAGACATAATTTCATCTCCATAAACCTCGGTTAACATTTGAAATGTTTCCTTCGGGGCTGATTTCTCAAGTTTTACAAGAAACTTGATGTTGATTCGCTCTTCGGTTTTTACATTAGGCAATTTTCTGGCAGAATGCAGTTGCACGTGTTTACTCAATCACGAAGTACTCCCCACTGGAGCGGTCGGTAAATCGAAGCTGGTCGCATGGATAGAGGCGGTGTGTGGCATGACGTCACCAAAACAGTTGTTGCCAACTCCGCATTGTTTTCAAGCTACACACGTAGTCTCGCTTCCTTTTGTGTCAAACCTCGTATTTACTTCAGGGCCCAGCAGCGGCCGAGCGGTAAAGTCGCTGAACACTGGTAGTTCGGTCCGAGGTTCGAATCCCGCGAACGGGCTGGCTGCATGGGGTTTTTGTCGGTTTTCCCCATGTGTAACGTGTATACGAGCCAGTTTCCCTTAGAAAGTCCTCCACGAAGGCATCCCTCCTCTTAGGCGGATAGCCCTAGTGTGCTTTGCCATAATTAAATAAACCAAACCAAACCGTATTTACTTCAGGAAATTTGGAAGATAAATATCTTCGTCGAATAGGTTCTCTTGATACAAAAACTGAATAACAGAGAGTGTGATAATTCTTTTTTAAGAAAATTTCTAAATAAATCTATAAAAATAAAATATTTTCCTACACTTATTACATGGAATATGTTACTTTAAAACAAGAAATATTTATTTTCCAAAAATAATCAGAAGTTTTAAACAATCTTGTCTATAAGTTCAGGAAAACAAACCTTGTCCAGAACCAAAGAAAGCTTTACATGAAGTTGTAAGTAGCAAGTTCGAAAATATAAATGTTAAATGTTTGCTTTATAAACTATTTTTCTTTCCAGATATCTGGAAGACGATGATGTTCAACCAAATAGTAATAACTCGAAGTTCTGTTTAACGAAATCCAAACTTCTGTAGAAACTGAAAATGCTTTTAAACATTTAACTTCAGATTATATAAGTTGGCTCCTCCTGTAGTTTTAGAATGTACAATTTTAGCATATTTGTCAAAGACCTGGTGGTACGTAAATTCTGGTGGGTAAAATGTAGGAAATCGTATTCTAAGTTACTGTTATTTAAAATTTCTTTCTTTACTATAATTTCTCCATTTCGTTTTCCTCACAAGAATGCAAATTAATAGTGAGGATTTAAATTGAGGTTTTCGGATTTTTGACAACGTCTGTTTCTGGCATCGTATATGCGCTACGTGGTTAGCTTCCTGCCAGCTTTAATACCTGTAACTATTCGGGTTTGCGATCTCTCGCTGCAGGCACTTTACTTCTGATGCTCCAGTAGATTTTAGTAAGGCAGCTTCTAGCGGCTAGTTCAGCTTCACAGTGTAGTACTTGGTTACGTTTCAACGTTAGATTAAATTTCGACTTTTTTGTTTATTTACCTTCACCAAGACATATATCACATTAAAGTGCTGTTATGTTTTAAGTTCTACAAAAAAAAAAAAAAAAAAAAAAAAAAGGCTTAATTTAACCTTCTGAAGACTTGTCGTTGTCCTCAGACATAGAAATAATTTGCTTCATATCTGTTAGAATAAAAGAACTAAAATACAATTAAAAGATCAAGTGAAACCCTATAAGTAAAATACTTTCTTCATTTACGAGAGTCTAGGGATTTTAAATTTGAAAAATTCAAAATATTCATGAATATTTTAAGTTTCCGGCTTGGAGAAAATTTTAGATTATTTCTACCTGTTTTGTTTTCTCTCAGTCTGTCATACATCGCCTTTTGATTCATAATGTCTTTGCATTCCAGGTTAATTCTGTGAGTAGTACCGTTAGCAAGAATAATACTGATAAAAACATACAATAATTGCACTAAAAATCGGAAATATTTCAGTTTCTATATTACGCCCAAATTTTTTCATTTACACATACATACACTTTTCGAGAGCATTTGGGCTAAAAATATTTAAAAACAGCATAACTTTAGAAGTTTCGATAGACAGTCTTGCATGCTGGATAAAAAATATTTTATTCCATACGGTGTGTTGCCACTGCTCGCTTTGAAATCGTTGAGTATTTTAATCAAAAATCCGTTAAAGCTTAAAAATTATGAAATAGATAATAGAACAAATTCGAAATTGAAGATTCGCGCCTCTAGGTGCCCATATTCGTGTGGCGGACTACGTTATTCAAAATTTAAAAGCTCTAGATATTGTCTTTTTTTACAATGCAAAAAACATGCATGCATGGCCGATAATATTTGGTGTCGATTTATTTAAAAACTGATACAGCGATTTATAGTGATTCGACGCAAATTGCGGCGTCAAGAGTAATAGCCCTTCTTAGCTTACGCCCCTTTGAGCTAATAACTGAAAGAAAAATGGACTAGCAGTAAAAGTTATCATGTATAAAGTGTGGTCTGTGTGTTCATTTTCTGTTTTATATCTGGATATTTCAGATATTTTTCAATCGTTATGCTACTAAGTGTTTTTTGATACTCAGTTAATTATAGACCGTGTCGTCAAAAGTCTTCAGAGTTTCTTCATTTCCGCAGCCATTGGTCGTAGACATATGAGCTCCTTAATAAAAATATTTTAAATTATTTAAATTTTCAAATCATTAATTACCCTAAACTTGTATTTAGGAAAATTTAGTACTCGTTATAGTAAATAAAGTACAAAACATTTGACTTCCGTACAACAAACATTAATTGATCTTCGATTTTTGACGTAATAATTCAATTTGCATTTAAAAGGGATCAAACAGTAAAAAAATTAGAATAATTTAAGTTTATTTTTTTAAATATCCTTCAATGACTTTTTATTATTTATGACTGTCTTAAATTTATAACATTATTGCATTTGGAATACCGGAAGATTTTCACTAAGTAATTTATAGGTTTGAAAACACGTTTCTAATATTACCATGAAATATATTACTAATATTCTCTCCTGCTATTTCTTTAGAATCATAATCTGAAAATTATACAAAATTTTCCTTAACCATATAGGTTTTTACTTCCTTGTACGAACTAAAAACTAAGTATAGTAATCGCGAAAAGTTTCAGGCAGCATATTTCAACGAAAATATCCATTTTGACCGCTATCGAATACAATTTAACGATTCTGTGATATCTGTACGTAAGGACAGAATAAAGTACTCTTTTCCTACAAAAAATTATAAAACTGCTTTAAAATGAATTCTGAAGAGAATTTTTCGTGGCGTCTGTACGAACGTCTGTACGTACGTATCTCGCATAACTCAAAAACGAGTAGCCTCAGAACGTTGAAATTTTGTATATAGGACTGCTATAACATGTAGATGTGCACCTCGTATTTTTGTTGCAATCGGCCGCACCAAGCGTATATATATATATATCCACTCTGTTACTCGGCTCAGCGACCTCAGTTTCATTACTCTTATATGTTTGTAAATTGTACATTTTTTGCTTTAGAAATGATTGAATTATGTTGTTTTTATCTTCCGGTTAAGGTTTTATGCCTTTAGTAAATCTGTACGTAATATTTTTAGAATTATCAACAATTTTAAAGTTGTTTAAGTACCACTAAGCCTAATAATATTTTTGATGGCGGCCATTGCTTCTTTACATTTGAAACAGCGGGATAGTGGATTTGTTGCCAATCTAGAGAAACTTAGCTTCGCAACAACAAAGATAACGCCTTTATTTATTATTGCGAATTAAATCAGGCTCAATCCTTTCTGGAATTTTTTCGAGAAAATAAGTGTTTAAGATTTACTTCGTAATTTTTATTACAGATATTTTGAGGTTTTATGTATTTTTGCCTTGTCGCGAAGTGAGAACTGAATTAATTGAATGAAAAATACTCATTCAATTAATTCATGTGAAAACTGTTCTTTTTTGTTTTGTTTGCTTAATTTCTTTTATACATCGTAGCTTTATTATAGCATTTGAATAGAACATGTGGCAACGATTAGATAATTCTTTAAATGATATAACTTTTGTGTATTCTTAGTTATAATATGAACGAAATATAATACTGTTAAGTGAACCTACGCCAGAGTGTCGCTATGGTAAACAAATATAGAGTGAAATTTAAAGAATGCATTTATTCTATTGTGGTTTATGCGTTGTCGGCGAAGTAGATTTAATTCAATCCAATAAGTTTAAATGAAATGCAAGAAAAAATGCGTATAATTTAATTTTCCGTACAAGGAAGTCGTGTGGCGTACACATCAGATTTTTTATTTATGCACGAATGAGCTGAGTAGCAGTGTTTCCTAATACACGAGTTCTAGAAAATTCTGTGAATAAGATTTCCTTTTTGAAAGAAAAAGTATGTTGATTATCGCTTTCCTCAATAAATTGCATAGAAATGCTAATCATTGAATCTCTTAACATCAGAAACGTTTTTCTAAACTGCTGTTTTATTTCAAGTTACGTACATAAGCAAACATTTGACTCTTCAATTTGCATGCTAACCCGAAGTATACAAATGAGTAAAAAATTATCCTAACGACAAATCTGAGGACAGATTGAACGCATAAATTGTTAGATTTCGTATTTTATGAGAAAAGTGTTTTATATCCCTTGTACGAAGTAAAGCAAGTATTGTAATCGGGAAAAATTTCGGGTATCATATTTCAACAAAAATATCCATTTTGAGTGCTTTCGATCTTTCGATAATTTTTTTTTTTTCTGCGTTTTAATGAATTTTGGACATCTGTACGTAAGGACAGAATAAAGGACTCCTTTTTTTTTTTCAAAACGGATTGTTTAAGGAATTCCAAATGCATTCAGAAGAGCTTCTTTCATGATATTTTTACCTACGTACATATGTATGAATCCTGCATTACTCAAAAACGAATAGCCATTGAAAGTTTAAATTTTGTATATGGCACTATTATAACATCTGGTTGTGCATATCTCGTTTTCTTTGCGATGGGCCCCACCAAACATACATATCTTATATTTATATGTATATATATATCCACCCTGTTACCCGGCTCGGTGAACTCATTGCTTTTATTCCTTCATGATGGTAAACTGTGAATTTTTTGCTTTGAAAGTGTTTGAATTATGTTGGATGTATGTTTCGCTTAAGGTGTTTTATGCCTGTAGTTAATCTGCATACAATAGTGGTAGAATTATCAACAATCTAAAAATTAACTGTCCCAAGGCCTAACAAGGCCACCATTTGTTTCCATTTGAAAGTAATAGTAGAGCAGTGAACTAGTCATTTGTTGCACCAAGTGAAGTGTGTTTCTGCCTAGTGGGACCAAAAGTTTACGTTAAATTTTGTCTACCTGCCCGCTGATAGAATTGTTTGTTTTGACGTAGGAACTTTAATTTGCAATTATAATAAATCTAGTTTTTTAAACATATTTTTAACTCTAGTTGGTGTTGGGGGCTTTCTAAATTTTACACATTTTACTGAATATATTTTGAGTTTGCATGTATTTTTGGTTCCCGCGTAGTGAGAGCTAAGCTGATTGAATGAAAATAAAGTTCGAGGAAATAAGTTTAAATGAAGTGCAGCAAAAAATTATATAATATAGCGGCCTGTGCAAGTAAGTCATGTGATGTACACATCAGATATTTTTTATTTAACCCTCTGAGCGTTACGGGTTTGGCCCTGAAATTTCAAAATTCCTCAAAATGTTACGAATAAGTGATATTTTCTTGATTTTAATTAAAAAATGATTCTTTCATTTTGTACCTTGATTCCATTTCTTCCAATTAGTACAGATATTAAATCCATTATCAAGTAGTATTAAATAATTCATTATGCACTGTGATTCATTATACACAAGAAACGCAGGCAGACTGCTTACTTAGATTTCTTTTAAATACTTTACAAGCTGCATTAGGTAACTTACTAATTGATTCTCTGTGGGACCCCACGTAGCGTATTGTAGGTAACCATCTGGCTCTTCTTGTGGATATAGAGGAAATATCCTCCTGCAAATAAGTAAAAAAGATTAAGTAACTATTTTTAAGACAAAACGTTCGTAACATAAAACACCATTTTTATGTTCTGATGCCTAGATAAAAAGAAGTTGTGAATTTTCACACCTGGAAACTTAAAAAAGAGTCTTTGCCATATTAGCAGTGAGAGGTCAAATTCGATATGGAAGGCAGGTCAGAAGAATTTTGGATGTTACCGCTTTTACGCAGCTACATATGGACTTTTGATATTTCTACAGAATAACTTCCGGGTGGAACAATTCGGTACGAGGATAAAATGCTTCGATTTATATAAATTATGAAATGGCAAAAATATCACAAAGTGGTGATTATTTTTATGCGTAGAATCGTGAGAACATTACTGAGTTCCAAAGGTGTTAAACTAAGAAAATCCATTTATGCGCTGTTTAGTCACAAAACGCATTCACAATAGACTGTAGATAGGGTGTAGTATAAAAGATGCGTTCGCACACTAATAAAATTAGTTTCAATCAGTAAATGCAGCTGGATGCTAAGAAAGAACCACAAATCTTTATGTAAGGAATATTGACCTGAACCGACGCAAGCAATGCATTTATAAAGAGAAATTCTTTACATACAAAACAAATTTCACGAATCTTGAAAAATATACGCATAACAAATGAAGTACTAGAAGAGAGTAACTGTGCTACCTATACGTTAGCAATGTACATATGCAATGTTAAAAAAAAATAAGCATGATGATATTAAAAGGTGTTTCTCCCACCTTCATGGCATGCCTTCGTGGTGTGGTGGTGTGAACGCTGGGCGCGTATTCGAGAGGTCCGCGGTTCGATTCCCGGCGAAGGCTAATTTTTTATCTCTCCTGCTTTCGAAATAACCTATTGACTCTACAAGTGGAGCCCGAACTAAAAAGAGTGGTGGATGATGATCCTCCTCACCCAGAATTTGGCGATTGGGTCTCCTACAAACCCCATTCACCCTTTAAAAGGGGTGGTAGATAAAGTATTTCTCCCACTTTTTTGGCATGCCTTCGTGATGTAGTGGTCTGCACGCTGGGCGCATATTCCAGAAGTGTGCGGTTCGATTCCTGCGAAGGCATTGCTAATTTTTCATCTCTCCTGCTTCCTAAATAAACCTAATGGTTCTACAATATCATCGACTGCATTGTCTTCATTACGTCGCCCAATTGTATCAGAGCGTTGCTGTTATGGCAAACAGGAAACGTAAGAATTAATGCGTGAAGGAATTATGCACGAATCAGCAAACGTCGTGCTCGTTGTACTAGTAACACTTCCATATAGTTGAACTGAGTTTCAACGTAACAACAATCAGCTTGATTATGATATTTTTGTAGGAATTTTAATGCTCAAATTCTTTACTCGTTTAATTAATAACCATCCCGCCTGTGTGTACATTTGCATAAATTCGCACATTTTGGGAAATGAATTTTACAAAATGTATTGTTTGCGTTATCAATAAAGCTACAATTACCAGTTATTTACTTTCGTTGAAGTCAAGTTAACTGTAGTACAGAGTTATATAAGAGAAGATACAAAAAAAATATACAAGAAATATTAGATATATGAAAAACAACACGGATTGACGTGGGTTTCGTTTTGCTTTCAGTTATCAGAAGTGCTTTCAGTTATCCAAGTTCAATTAAAACTAAGCACTAGTGTTCAATTAAAAGTAAGTGTAAAACAGGCACCATAAACGAGAAACGTTATTGAGGAATTTATGAGAGCTGACAATTATTTGCCTCCTTTCGGAACAGAAAATACCGAAACAAAGCAAAGTAGGTTTCGCCGTCTAGGGTAGCCATTCTCGAACATTCGTCTGTCTCTCTCTGTTAGTGGTACTTGTCTTTAATTTATCTGCAGCTGAAAAGCGCGATAATGCTAAATCCTTAAATGTTCGTCTCCTGAAAATCTACTGCGAGCAAATGTTGCTTTACTTATTCTTAGTTTTAATTGGAAATTATTTTTCCTCATATCTTGTATACAGTATAACAGTGCTACGCAACCTTTTCTCACCTGCGACGCACAAAAAATCTTTCTGGAATTTCGTGGCACACCAAAGAGTTCCGAGTTATCAAGGAACTGCCGAAAAAATTCAAATGCTGACACACTTACAATCACATACACAACCACAGAACAGTGAAATATATAAAAACATTTAAAATAGACATTATTAAGGAAAAAAATTGTCATTGTGTATTAAATACATGATAAAAAATTGCAAAATGTCAAATACATGTATTTGATTGCGGCACACCTATATCCTACTCATGGCACACCAGTGTGAGTACTGCAGTATAAGAATATATTATATCTCAATACAAATTATAAAGCCAAACAATGGAACTTCTCTCATTTTAACATTCATGCCAAATTGGCCGACATAGTTCCAGATAACATAAAAAAAATTATTGTTTTAAATTTCGATAGTTTTTCTAAAAATAAATAAAACAGACGCATTAAAAATAAACACCTAAGAGCTACAAGCTACATTAAGTTCGTGTTTCTAGATGGTATAATAAAATACAGTATAAAGCAAATCTCAATAAATTTAGAATATCCCCAAACTGTACAACAGAATACTAAATATTTACATATATCGCAACCATACCTATACTGATATGAAATGTTCTTGAGAAGCTTGTACTGGTGTTGAAAAAATTGTTATTTTGTCTCAAAAAGAATGAAAGTAAAAAAAGAAATTATCTTAAAAACAGCTTTTTTTTTTTGTTAAAGTACGTTGTTTAAGCATTTTTATTCCGCCAGAATTTCAATCACTTTCAGCACTTCTTGAGCATAAGCCAATACATAGAAGCCTAAAGTTCACAAAGCAAAACATAAGTAAATAATTGATGCTGCATGTATTCACACTAAGTATTTAGTATGAAAAGAAGCCAATGATAAATGAGTTTAATTATTTTCAAAAGTCAGATAGTTTAGTAGACTCGGTGTATTCTTTCTTTTTCTCCTTACTTTCTAATTTATTTTTATCAAATATCGAACGTTTTATTATTAGTGTCTCTTATTAGTTAGCCAAGGAAAATTATGCGCAAATATTTATCTTTTAAGAATTTAAGGAGCCTTCTTTTAAAATAAGTAATTATTAGAAGACGAATAAAATTTGAGTAAAAAGAAAAAAAAATTATTTACTTACATAATTCCTTATTCTTACGTTTCCTGTACCAAGCTTTTATTTACTCATAATTCAACAATGTAAGTATGACCCAGAAAAAAACATTTCTTAAAAAAGATATTGAGCAAATATTTCTTAATTTTTTTTAAGCTTTTCCCAGAATTTAATTATAAAAAAAATCTGTTAGCTTCGAGTGAATGCGAATATGAATCTACTATTTAGAAGACAAGATAGGCTGTGTTAAATTTTCAACAGAATTTATGATGAAACTGCTTTTTTGAAATGCCCGAATGGAGCTTATATAGAAAAATGTTTTTAAAGCATTCAGAAAGCTTTGATAATAGAATTAAATTACCTACTTCGCTTTTCGTTGCATTCGTATCTGATACTGTCAAGTCAAAAAATTAAAATTAAGAGTGGAGTAAAAATTTTTTCCCCTGAGGAATCTTTTAAACTTCTAAAATGCAGAACCTATAAATAATGACTGGCATGCATTCAGATACATTAAAAATGTATAGAAAAATATGTTATAAACCTAAAAAAAACTAACCGTGGACACCTTATAAAATCCTTATCGACCTTTATAAATTCTTTTGTTAAACCTTTAATATACAGCTTGCAAATTACGACTAAAAACACAAATTATGCATATTGGCTACAAATAAACAAAACAAATATAAAATTATACTAATAACGAGAAGATATATGTCTGTACTTACTTATTTTTAATGTCATATATCTTGTACTTTGCTTTGAACGAATACCTATAGAGCTGCACAAAAAAGAAAAAAAATCTATAGGATGGCTCACAAATGCAAATCCATTTTATTAGTCTTCACAAATTTTAGTAGCTGAGAATCTTAAATACATTTCAGATTCATTATTTATTCCTTGGTATTCCTAGCCTAAAAACGTCTTAGATATAGGAAAAATATTTTATCAGATTTTAGTATTTAATAAAGTTAGATAATAGAAAATTGCAATATTTTTTTAAATTTATAATTCTTTGGTTCTTTTTCAAGCATTTACACAATACAATTCACATGAATACAATTGCAGTGTGCTAATATGTTATGTAATTTGTACACTCTCACTTAATTTAGTTGGTGTTAACTTATAATAGATAGGTTTTTTTGCCCACTTTTAAGTCAATTAATCTGCTATCAATGACAATAGCTACTTTTCCAGTTTTTATTTATTTATTTATTTATTTTTTCGATTAAATATTTTCCTATACAAATTTTTATGTTTTTAACCCTCTGACTGCTCAATTTGTGGACCGAAATCGCTTAAAAAATTGTATATTTTTTTTTTTTTTTTTTGCAAATTTCAAATCTATATATATTGGAGAATTGAAAAAGGCATTTTTTCTTCTAGAAAATTTTTTTATATAGATTTTCATGAGAAGCTAAGTTGCCAGAAATACCAATTTTTAAATGTTATCACCAAAAAAAATTTTTTAAATAAATTTCAGTCGAATACAGTAATTTCTATTATTGCATAATATAAAGGTTAGATAAGAATTTAAAAAAGAAAATATAAAAGCACTGAGGGAAAAATACATTAAAATGCAGTTTAGTATGATAGAGTTCTAAACGGGATTCAAGGCAAAGTCTAATTCACAGTTTTGCACGAGATTCAATAAATCTAATTAATAATCAATTTATTATTAATCTAATTAATAATTCAATAATTTAATTAAATAATCAAGATAATCGCTGAATGTTTTCAAGCGGCCCTTTCTGTAAGAAAAAAGCGGCAAAATGTCGTGTTTGAGCTGTAATACCATGTGCCTTCAAACGCCCCAATTTAGCGGACAACTAACGATATTTGTTGTCCAAAACGTAAACTAAACGTCTAATACTGTACATAATTTATTTCAGCGGTCAAATGGGAAAAAAACAGGATGCGCTCATCAATAAAGGAAGAAAAACACATGCCTGCGGAAATCGCGGGATGAGCAGATTTTGCCACATTTGAGTTGTCCGTGGAAATCGCGGGATAAGCAGCCAGAGGGTTAAAGCAATAGTTACTTAGAAAATACAAATTTAAAATACTAATTAAAATGCTGATATTTTTTTCTTTTAATAATTGATGTTTCTAATTCAATTTCTGTTACTTGGAGATGGTAAATAAAATGTTTTATAACTTATTAGTTTATATATATTTGTACATAAATGTATGTGTATGCATAAAGTATGTTGTATGCATATATTACAAAATATACATATTTAAATACTATCTATATAATAAATTCATGTAAAAGAACAATCAGTTGTTAAAAAAAAAATATGCTTCTAACATCAATACATGAAAATTTTTCTTCCACCATAAAATTGCTTTTTGAAATTTTGTATCATTTAAAAGTAGAAACTATTATTAATTTTATATTACTGTATTCTATTTAAAGGTATAAATAACGTGAAAAATTCTTAATGTTGTCGCGAAAAGCCCAGCTACGGTAGGACAGCTTCCCCGCAAAGCGGGTTTTGGGTTTTCAGAAAATGGGCAAGGAAAGGCAGTTTTGCCAGATTTGGTGGTAAATCGCCCATTTGTTTCCAAGAAGTTTAAATACTTCTTACAGGTTTTACCCAGAATGTTCTCGAAGACAGTTCAAAAGCTGTATAAACGCTGTCTGGACGCGGAGTAGCAGTGTATCTCGTTGTCATTGAGTTCAGTTGTAATATCTTGAGTTCAGAACGATCGACTAAGTCGGGAGCTATACTCTAGCGCTTTGCCGTGAAGCTGTTTTGACCGTTATATCCTGATAGTCTGAAGGCTGTGTTGCTGATTGTTTCCGCGTGTTTGTCGTAGTTTATCAACAAGTGTTAACGCGTCTTTGGAGCTGCTCTGTGTAATACTGACCAATAAATTTTGTTTTGATTTTTCATCACATGTTGTCATCAATCACTCCAGATCCACGAACCCATAGAACTTAACAATATGAATAAACTGATACAGTTTTGTATGCATACGAAATTATCCTCGGTGAACAAAGGGGAACTAAGGTTTTAAAATAATTTAGGTTTTTAATTTGAATCTAAATTAAATTAAAAATTTTTACCCTTAAATTGTATTCTTTAACAGCGTATTTGTTAAAATTTTCTTATCTGAAGAAATCTTAAACTATAGATTAAGGCTTTTTCGTCAAACTGAAAAGGCCTATCATGCCTTTTTATTAACCTAAATTAAGATTAAAATTAACTTTTATTTCTTTCTCTTTTTTTGTATCATACCTTGTACACATTTTTTGTTGCATTCCAGCATTTCCTTTAAATTTATTTCCTCGCTCGTTTTTTTTTTTTTTTTTTTTTTTTTTGTCACACATTATACACATTTTTTCTGCATTTCATTTAAACTTATTATTCGAATTTAATTGGATACATGTTTCTCATTCATTTAATTTAGTTCTCACTTCGCGACAAGGCAAAAATACGTAAAAATTCAAAATACTTTCATAAAAACTGAGAAATAAGGAAAAACATGAAATACCAAATATAATTACAACAATTAAAAACAAGTTTTGCAACTCAAATTATAGTTTCTAGACAAAAACAAGAAATTCCACCTGATGACATTCTTTCCCGCGGAATTTTCAATGCAAAGCACTGAAAGTTTACTTTTGGTCCCACTCGGTAAAAAGACACTGAAGGTGCAGAAACTGGCGTAATTCATTATTTTGCTAAGTTTCAAATATAACTGTTAGTGTAAAAGCCCGAAGTCTGGTAAATCGTAGGTTTTATCGATAAACCTAGCTTTGTCAAAGTGGCTTACTAAATGTTAGAAGTATGCTTTAACAAGATGCCACTTCGGGCTTTTACCAAGCGTTTGCGGTAAATCCTAGGAGATACGAACGCCTTCCTGTAAAAGCCCGAAAAGAGGGATTAAATTGACCTTGAATAAGCCTGCGCCCGCAATTTTCGTGGCGACACGTTTCTGTTTCAGTCCTCCTTATTCGCGCCATTTGCAGTCTAGATTCGAGCGAATTCGAACAATTATAGGCGGCTACGATCTTAAATAGAAGCTGTTTGTTTCCATTTTAACATATTTGGGTTTTTCTTTTTGTTCGTTACAGAAGGTTGAAATGCTATGAGATTCTAAATATTGGAAGAGAGGACAAATTTATAGCACCACTATCTGCAGAAAAAGCAGAAATCCTGTATTATGTTACAATCGCTGAAGTCTTCAACGTCATACACGACGCTCATATCGGAGTTGGCCACGGTGGAAATATCCGTATGATTAACCTTTTGAATACGGAATGGCCATTATAGTGGCCATAGAGTCCTCTCTCTGAAAAGACGGGGTTGTCCACTTTAGTGGCAATGTCATTTTCCCCCATTTTCCAGGCCGAAAAGTGGGGTGAAATGTCGAATTTGACGTCCCTGGTGTTTTAACCACTTATCTCTTTCAAAGGTTTTCCTTTTCGACATAGATGTACCCCTATGAGAATCCATTAAACTACACACAAGAATCTTTGTTGCAAATAGGAGGTAATTTCTTAAAGGGGGAAAGCATTCGGTTCAAGATTCTCCGTTCTTTGGTAGCTTTTACTGCTACCAAAGCCCCCGGCCTCAACAGGTTAAAGAACTGAATCGCAAGTACAAGATGTTACAGTAGAATCTAACTGTGAAATAGGAGACTGTAATCAAACCAATTGTGCATAGCGAAATGAATTCTCGATGCCAAGTCGGCCTGACTGGTATGCAGTCCAATCCTGATCACGATATGAAATTCATTTTAGTGTAATTACGATCATCTTACAAAATTCGCTCTACTCCGAAGTTTCCATATTAAAAGAGTTGACGAAATGCCACATCACCCTCTGGATATTTTCACAACATTTGGAGCACCGTATATTCTCCTTTCCGGCAATGGGAGGGAATATTGCAAACAAATCATAAACAGCTTATGTGAAGTGTGGAGTGATATAAGGATATTTCACGGTAAACCGAGGCACAGTCAATCGCAAAGTTCAGTCGAACGAGCGAACGAGGACGTTCAGAACATGTTGGCAACATTTTGTTTTTTCCAATGGCAGATTATGAACAGTTACTGTGTAACCCAGTCCCTTAACCTATACAAGACCAGACGTGGTAGTCTCTTTATTATGGAGGCACCTAATAGGTGGGCCAACATCGCCTCCTATGAAGGGACGGACAGTTACATGTTGGCAACATGGATGGGGGGAAATAAGACAAAAAAGTGGTCGTAAGGTTTAAAGGTTGTTCAAGCAATAAAATTCAAAGCATATCACAATGGAATCAATGTTCACCTTACAAAACTATGTTTGGTTGTTCTATGAAGTTAGGACTTGGCTACTCAGCTTTGCCACGTAATTTGATTAGGACTTGTAAAAAATTATAAGAATTAATAACGAATGCAATGGTTAATACAGAAGATAAAGGCACACATCTAGAATGAACAATCGATTTAGAATCGCAAGATAATAATAAGAATAATAATAATAATACATGTGATAAAGAAATCAGGTTTAACGATTGAAGTAGATACTGAAGTTCAAATTGAAAAAAAAGTAATCAGATATATGCTCTGACACAATGGGTGTGATTATCAACAAAGTTCAAAATGTGAAAGTGTTTCGAAAGACAGCTAAAGAAGGACTTGAGAAGCAAGCAAAGATGAAGACTACGTCTAATAAAAACTTTCTGAAACCTACCTTCGCAAAAAATGTTAAAATGAAAGTACCTGATATTGATAGATTGAAAATGGATCCGAAATCAATAATAGCCGTTATTACAGATATTAAAG